ATATATATATATATATATATATATATATATATATATATATCAATTTTCGACCAGTTGTACACCGGGAGCGTAGTAACAAATACAACAAGGATAGAAATTACGCACAACAATGAGAATGCATGAAGGATTCAACTGAAGATAAATGTTAAGAATCTCCGCAACAAGACCAGTCCGGAAAGTCATCCATATACTGGATGGATGGATGGCGCTATTAGCATAATACAGATAATCTCTTAAAGGAAGCCAAAGTGGAAACCTACCGACAGACACAAATTACACAGCACCTGACGACCTGTGAAGACAATTTATGTACATGAAAATTAGAAGAAGAAATATACGTCAAAAAGGGGGGAGTTCAAGGAGAACGAAAGCGGAGCAATTCCGCAAATTCTGCACGTCTCCAACTCCAGTTTAAGACAGTAGATAGAGTTAGCCGTGTAACATAAACTAGTTGTCAGAACAGAGATGTGAGAAGGCGTCAAAAATTTGTTGGATACTGTTGATTATCAACAGTGCGTTATTGTTTGCTCAGGAACGATGATTGTCAGCCACACAGACAAGTACTCTCCGGGTTGAAGGATTAACTGCAACAATGACTATTGTCTGACAGTAAGGGGGATAAAAAATCGATCTCTGGAACTTGGTCGGATAGTCCAGTAGTCCTATTTCAGGGTGATATTACTCTAAGTCGGGTTACAGAATTCTCTTTCTACTTTCATGTGCACTGTTTCTTACGTAACTTTCCGAATAGGTCTATATTGCAGGTACAAACACTAAACACGCCAACGGTCACATAGAATAGATGGCACGCAAAAATAGAGTTCGCAGAGATCAGGAAATAACTTATTGCCCTAGATGGACATCCAATTTACTTGTTGTTTTCTCTTTGGTTGTGAGTAAATGTGCAAAGTGGAACACAGGAATTTGGGCAAAAAAATAATAGGAGACAGTGTGTCGGAATTCGCAGCAAGTGAAGGCATGAGTATGACGCTATGTCCATTCGGCATGCAAAAGATGGTTAGTATCTGGGAGACTCATTTTCTCAAGGCGAGCATAAGAGGCAATGTGATGATCACAATGTTTCACAATTGCGGAAACGAGATGATTAAAGGTAAAAAAATTAAAATCTCGCTCAAGTTAAACAGAAAAATGATTCAAGTTTCACAGACTGAGGTAGGGTACCCGCTGATATGCGAAATGGTCTCAGGCTTCTGATTTAAAATGACAGGCTGCAATTTAGAAACACAGCTAGGGAGCGCGAGAGTTGATTAGGGAATTTTTCTCTATAGTGAGTCCAAGAAAATTTGTATAGCTCAATCTACATGACAAAATGTTATTTATCAATGTGCGACTTGTAGGGAAAGAATGATGGAAATAACTATAATAAACATTAGACTAACAAGCTTGGATTAGCCCATTCGATTGCTCAGAGGCAACAGGCACTCTTGATGGTCTTCGGTATGTGTTTCACTCCTTGGGAGATCGTTAATTCCCCACGAGTTAAATGCATTAAAATGTGATGGAAATGTTTGTATTGACCGACAAAGAGCACTAGATAGCTGTTGCGTCCTGTTTCGGAATTGTCAGCAGCGCGTACCGTGTAGCTCCGGGTTTATAGTCGCGACCCGAATGTTCACGGTTCGAGTCCTGACAGGAACACAAAAGGTACGCACTGGTAACGAGTTCCAAGCAGGACGAAACAGCTGTCCAGTGCTCC